GATGCAAAACGTCTAGAACTAACATACCATACAGAAGGTCGCTGACATCTGCTTCACAGAACATCGTGGTTTTCATGCTTCTTGTGGCGAATCAGGTGGGCGCTGTCCTTTGTCACCCCTACAACTTAATCAAGACCTGAAACCAGACTGGGCGGAACTTGCCAAACACTCTCATGAACGATATACTTATCTGGGTTTGGTTGGGTCAGCCCGTGAAAATCGAATAAGCGCGTGAACGTATAATCTGCCTTTTATGGTAAAACCCCCAAAAAAATACCACTGACGAGAACGGTCAAAGGTAGTCACGCCACAATAATAAGACCTGTAATTTGCTGGAATGAAGTGTACATTTTTATAAAAGACCCACGTTCCGTTTATAATTTACAATGAAGGCATCTAATTAGCATCGGTGCTTGCTGCAAGGGGGTACCAAAATATTACAAGGGTTGTAACGGTTAAACAATGATTTCCTCCACCCAAATGAAACTGGTTTATCATCAGAATTGACATTATTCGATGAAGGTTAGATATTCTGCTATAATCGACCAAACGCTTCTTGCAAAGATTCAGGGGCTACCTTCGCACAAAATTCGCGATGTGTACAAACGGATCATGAAACTCCGTTATGTTTTACTGGTCAACGTTGCCTTAAACCACGCCACATTAGCATATATAAGCCCACTATGAACCAAATTGTTTACCTCGAGGGACTGAAGATTCATCGACGGCCAACGACCGGTTTGGGCCATATTGTGTCTTATCAGGTAGGCGCAGTCTCCGGGTTTCCGTCAACCTTATGTTCCACTTGAAACCAAATTGCGAGAAATTAGCGAATATGCACTCATTTGCAGTCGATGGATTCTCAGCAAGCTTATGAGTAGTAGATTGCAAAGATATATCTATATATCGCGATATTTCGAATGTCGTAGTGACTGAAACATGAGGCGGCCTGGTGCACCATATTCAGTTGCCTGAGAAAATCATAAAAGAGAGATTCATCGCTTATTTCGTGCAATTTGGTTTCAAGTAGAACATAAGTTTGACGGAAATCCGGGGACTGTGCCTACCTGATGGGTTGAAGAAGGGCGAAACCGGTCGTAGGCTGTCGAGGGATTTTCAGCAACCTTATGAATACTGCATTACAAAGATATACATACGTGATTGACAATATGATTGCTATTTCACAGGATCCATGGAAGAATCTGCCAGAAGTTTACGCTGCCTACTTCCCATATTTGAAGGAAGAACGTCGCGCAACATAGAGCCAGATTTGCACGTATCCACGTTGAACATTTTTTTTGAATGCAAGTTGGCGGGGGTATCGTTCACCTCCATGGCATACAGCTGTCGCAAGACAAGGAGAGAAATAGTCGTGAACTCGAGATGGGTCACTCAGTGAGTCAGTCACCAGTGATGTGGATACATTGGTTGAAGAATGAGCGATGTTGTGTCTTGACGTGTGCGGATAAATCATGTTGTTTTTTGGTCGCTCTTGGCCGAACGGTTACACGTTGCATCTATCAAGCGCATCAATGATGATTCCCAATAAGGATGGAACAGTTGTACATCGCTTCTCGGTTTTTCATCACAGAATGCTTGCTCATACATAAAAACTACAACTGCATACTAATGAAATTCGTGCTGTCGCACTAGAAGCGAAAAGTTGTATGTTGCCAGGAAGAAATCGGCTGACTCGTTTTCCGGATGATCCGCGCCTCATGAGTGACCCTAAACGACAAGAATCTTTGTATACGGTATATGCAGTTGCTCAGCAGTCTGAATGGATCAACCGCGAAATCATGTGAGGCGAATGCCCTTCCGCTTCGTAAAACAAAATCTGTGTGACGGTGTCATTTAAAGCACCTTGATGAGATATATCTAACTTGAATTCCGGGGGGTAACCCTTCAGTTTGACGTACGAAAACCGTAGCTTGTGTCCCATTTTTTGGTTGATGTGTAGAACGGCTTGACTGCAAACACATATGTACAAATCATTACCGATGTCATTGCCCCAACATGTTTATTTAAGCCTTATAAATCTGTTCATTATTTTGCATCCAAATAAATATCTGCGTGCTTAAACCATGGTTACCAAAATAAACTAAACTTACGTCTTCATCTGGGAAGGCAATATGGGAAGTTCCACCATGGCCAGAGTAGAAGATGAACACGTTGTCATTAGGACCGCTGTTATTGGGCAGAAAGTTTAAGGTGGTCTTGAAGAGTAGCTTATAGGCTGGCGCTGTCGAACAGAGGAAAGCACAACAAAAAACGCGGAATCGGCAACACAGCGAAAACGTCCGTCAGAATATTGTTTTGTACACGCTGCTTGATATAATCAGTAGCTAGAATAACTTCGACTAGGCTGCTATTCGCATGGCTACGTGAATACGGGGACAAAAATTCGATTCTTTCAACGTCTGTTGGTGAATTTTTATGGTACGAGATATGGTGGCTCCTATGGTTTTCAATGCGTGAAGATAGTTAAAAGCAGTTTTCCTCTTTAGCTAGCTTTATCATCTTCCCGTTGACACAGTAACACTCAGATATTTCAAAAAAAGCTATCGTTAGCATGATTAGATGTGTTTATTGAAATATCTACAAAATATATACAATACTGAGGAAAAATATTATAACCAAGGTGAGGCGATCCTACATTTTTAACACTTGATATCCAAGAGGCCATACGTATTTATCCAAACCTGACCTAGAAATGTTACGTTTGTTGGTCGTTGATCAGGATGGTGTTCATATATTCTCTGCTCGTAGTGATGAGCTTGCGAATGTTTCATCACCAACCGAAGTGACATCATGAATGAATGGTTGGGTTAGAAGCTACTTTAAACCTGCTGTCACAGGCTGAACGGAACATACACTTCTCGGGGTCCAAGTGGTCGATTTCGAACTGCGCTGCGTTGTGGCTGGCATCCCCTGGATTCGATTGCTGCTTTAAGTAGTTTCTGTCTGAAGATCTTTTTTCGTGATCTGATTGATGGGTTACCGATTTCTAATGTGTTGCATTCTGGCTTTCCACATTCGATCGGTTCTCACTAGGACTTCTGGTTTCGTTAGTGCATTTTGATTGGTTGTTTCTGAATTGCTGTTGTGCTGAAGCCTGATTTTTGGGAGGTTGTTTTTGCGAATGCCATTCCAGTTAATTAAACTTTTTATTGCGCAGATTTATTTTGTACATTTGGTCACCTATACTATAGGCCATCTATCTTTCCTTCTCTATCCCAAATAAATACAGCTAGGATCGCAAAGGCTGAATTTGTTCAACTTAGTATTGAGAAGCGTTTTAAGCACCTTTTATTTACTACATATTAGATCTTTCATTGTACCTTGCTATGACAGAAATCAAAGATAAGGGTGTAAAAATGAATTAGAAGAAAATGTTCGAGCTCACCTGGGATATTACTTTGTACAAATTTAGCCAAGCTTTAAAGCGCAGTCGATTAGACACGCAATATGTCGAGTAGCAAAAATCTACCCTTCAAATATGTTCAACGAAATATTCTGTCTGAAAATGTAGTTTCTCAGGAAAATAGCATGCGACAACAGCACACAATATGCGAACGAAAAAGATCGGTTCACGGGAGCTGGAAATGTATATATAGAAACATCCATCGCAGGTCCTCTTGAGAAACACAGGTTAATCAGAAAACGTGCACAAAAATCGGGTGATTACGGATTTCGCCACAATTGAAAATCCAAAATGTATATGAATAGCCGGATGAGACATTTATGGTTAGCGAGTGGTCAAACATTTGCCTTGTTTTCTGATATGTCTCTGTATGTCAACGCTTCCCACCTCGTCATTTGCGGGTCAAGAAGGTGTGGGAGGGATTTCGAAAGAACATCCTTGACGTTAGCAACCCACATAGGCAAGACAGGTATTCCAAAAGCTGAGAGTATTATGGGTGAATAGCGATACAAATTCGAGGGACCGCCATAAATAGACAGGCCTGCCAGTGGACTTGGATTTCGATCTTCCAAACAACATTGTATATTTGCGTTGTTCAAAAACGTGAGATAAAACAATTCCTGGGTCCAAGCACATCAATATCGACCGACCCAAATTTGTACAAGCCCGAGGGGACATTTGACCATTCACAACTGCACATTTCTGAATATTTTGAAACTTCTTTAATGTGGCGGTTGATGCCTACGATTTAATAATAACCACAATTCAGAAATGGATAAACCGGTTTTTCCTGTAGTGAAGCAAATCCGTTTGACTGACTTTTGAGTGTTTTACTCGAAATGATTACGTACTTACGAGAATACTAGACACGCATTTCGTAAATACGAAGACGGTGACCTGCAAAACTAGAATTCTGCCTATGATCAGCAAGTGTATCAAAAACATCCACTTCCTGGCAAACCCACCTTTCCAGCATCTTCTTCTTGTTAGCTTCAAGTTTCTTGTCGCCTTTTAATACTTTCACGGAGTTATCACGTGTGACGTCCTAAAACGGATGAACATGCATGACCAACTATTCTAGTTGACAACGGCGTTCCCGACACTCACTCTATTCCCAGTAGCCATTCACTTTCACCCTAAGAAATAATTTAAATCCAAGATACGCCACCATCTTCACTGATATTTTATTTACGGTGATTGCTGAATGCTGAAAACTCAATACATCGATTGTTGGTCTTTTTGCCTAGCATGGGATATGGATTTACTCCTCAAAATTAGGGCTGGTAGTTGAGTTGAACATGGACTACTTGGAAGCACAACCAAATAGCCCTCGTGTACCTCAGTAGCTAAGGACTGCAACATACGTGAGAAACAGCCGCTATCTTGAGGCGAATATCATTCATCAGCACTCAACTGAATCACAGTTGAACATTTCTTATCTATGATATTCTCTAACTGAATGTGCTGTCCTTGGCACGCTGCTTGGTTTGTTTGGTGCATCACTCGGGATACTAAAGGATATTTGCCTGCAGCAAGCTATTCAGGCAGTGTTGGTCCTCGTGCAATTTTCGTGGTTCTTTTGACAAGAACAATATGCTTTTTAAAAGGCAAAATGCAGAAGGTTGAAGTCGGTTGCGGACTACCTGAATGTTCTCTAAGAATTTATGACCAGTGTTCGTCCAAGTATAATGACCATTGTCTTATATAGTAAAACTGATTAATCTACCCTGCTGTTTGTATTGTTTTTTGATTCGCAGTGTTAGTTTACTTGCACCTTGTTTTACATGGTGAACTGATGCCAGAATTGCCTTAATTGCTGCGCACCGGAATACGTACTTACTTTTCCACGGTAATCAATTACTACACCATTGTACACATCTTCGTGCTGGTATTCATGGAACACTTTGCCTTTAAACGGATTTCTGGAAGAAAAGAATGAAAAGTAGCAGTGAATCTTCTACCTTCCGACCATATTCGCCTGAGCTAGGGAAACATGGCAGTACCCAGCCATCGTGCAATCTTCGTGTGTCACGGCAGCTAGGTACCTTGAAGATGCTGCAGCCAAACGAACGAACGGGGCAATAAACAACTTACGATGGTTACAGTTTGCACGGAAGAACTAATTAATAATGCTTTCAAAAGTTTTTTCTCTCCTCCAGCTGCATTAAAGTGTTAAGATTCCTAGATTGCTTGCTCACGAGTTGCTCCAAATCATCAGCCGACTGATGCATTCAAACGAAATCTAGATACCAATGTGCTCCAATTCAAGCTACGAAAACCACTATTTAAACGAGTACCTATCAATAACATTGTCGTCAAATTCATCATCATCATCATCAGAATGTGCTACTTGCATCAAGGTTCTATGGCGTCTATAGTCATGAAAAGGCATCGACCAAAAAAAACTGTGACACACGAAACCCCATAATTATCTGCAACTCAAATTCAACATTTATATAGATTGGAAATACGGAAAGACAATGAGACTTATTAAGGCCAAACAATGAAGCGCGTTTTCTAAGTTCTATTTGCTACCACACAGAAAAAAAATTGTACGCGAGATGTACTTGGGATTGTTTGCAATATCGTCGTAGGCGAAGGTAAGTATATTCTCCGCTGGAACGCTGTTTTCACGCACGACATGATACGCGTGGTATACGTCCGCCTGAATGAGAACACAACTGGCACGTGATGTTAGGATAACAGGCAGAGTGAGGCATGGAGACCAAAGAAGGCAAGCAGTGTGTAGGGCAATCCACTGTTCGTGGAATATCAGATATCCCAACAGAATTTGGATGCATTATCCAAAGAACAGGGAGCATGATTCTACTCTGGAAGGGCTTGTGTGGACCACAGTTCCTCATTCAGTCAAATGTCTGAACAACTACCTCCT